GATAAAATGTCTACTATCTCCATGCAATGGTTTTTTAATACTGAATTTACTAGGTCTTCCTGTTGCTGATCTATTTCTGGCTAATTCTACACTCTCAATAGGAGTTTGCAAAAGGAATAATGCATTCTGCCGTCTGAAATCTAAAAGAGTATATTTCTAGTACAGTCAAAAGTCGTTAATTCGGACACCCATAACCCGGAATGATCTATAATCCGGACTTCAAAGCTACAAACTTTCTGCGCATGCGTTGCGTTCACGCATGCGCACAGGCGTTTACGAGAGCGCGTAAGACCCTTACGGCTGCGAATATGTTTGTGCGCATGCGCGTTTAATGTGTAACGGAGTTATACGCTAAGCTAAAGTTATCTAATTCAGTTAATGTTGCAGATTGCGTTGTTTCTTAATCTTCGAATTGGATCCGGCTTATTATTTTTTGCAGACTGTTACAGCAATTTTATAAAAGTAAGCTTGAATTTTCGATTATGTCAAATAGAATTTCCGATATATATTTACTACAAAGCGAAAGTATGTTTTGAAATCCGAAATCTGTTTATCAATTTCACGCTGCTCTGCGGCAGAGGGGGGGGGGGGCAGAAACGTCATTATTAGATTATGATAGATTAGAAAGATTATGTCAAATAGAATTTCCGATATATATTTACTAATATGTAATTTGTATCTACAAAGCGAAAGTATGTTTTGAAATCCGAAATCTGTTTATCAATTTCACGCGACGGATTGGAAGTTAATCTGTCAGTACTATCCTTATCTTCAGGGCAGATGTTTTTATTTTATTTGGTTTATAATTCCGTACTAAGTGTAGTATTTCATCTCGATGTACTCCGTCTTTGATATGATTTAAATCAAGTTCCTCGTCATTATAATTCGCTTCCGATAGTGAAGAAAGTGACCCAGAGGTTATTGAAAACGAAAACATTTCGATTGACAAATTAGTCGGTATTCTCAACACAGCAATTATAGGACTTGAACAGCGGAACTTTGTAACTAAAAAAGAAATTATGTCTGTTTAATAGAATTAAAGAGAAAGTATTATCACATGAAACGAAGCAACTTACATTGAAGGAAATGTTTTTAAAGTAAACAAAATAATATTAAGCTTTTTCTTTTTGTAAATTTTGATACCCTTTAGATCATAATTGTTCTTTATTTCATAAATTACGGTTTCATATTTTTAATTTTGTAATTTCTGCATGCCATCTTACCAGATTTAAACTGATGATCTATAATCCGGAAAAATCGATAATCCGGAATCGCCAAAGTCCCGAGGATTCCGGATTAACGACTTTTGACTGTAGTAAAAAGTGGTGATATTTAGTATGTTTAGATACGGTCTCACCTCATATAATTTATCAGTATTGTAAATTTGACTATTGTCAAATGCAAATTCTGCTTCATATTCCTGTACTGCAAACGTGATATCGATTCTCGTACAACAGGAACAGAAATGTCCTTATCAAAACACCAATACATTTTTTCTTGAGGTAAAGAATAATATCCTGTAAGCAATATTTTTCCAATAAATCTTCTCATATAGGCTTCAGATGCAATAATTTTTTTTTTTTTTTTCTGAGCGTATATATTTTTGTTCAGCGAGAAGAGAGTAAATATGTAAACCAAAACGAAAATCGAAAATCTGTGCACTAGTTTTACCTTGTATTTTGTCTTTTATAATTTCTCTTCTATCTCTTTCTTCATGTTCTTCCTGACACATAACTAACAGTTCCTTTTTTATCCACTTCAAGATTTCAATCTTTTGCTTTTTAAACTTTTTAGTATGACTATAACTACTTTTAGAAGGCTGAAACTTACTTCTTACGGGAATTTCAACTTCCCCAGCAGTATCATTTGGTAAAATATCATTATCATTATTTATTACATTGCCATTCCTTTCTTCTTCGTCACTAGTTTCTGCCATTTCTGGGGAAACAACAACAATATCAGTTTCATTCTGGTCATTATTAACATTATCATCATCTATTTCTTCATCAAAAAATCTTTGAAGGGCATCTCCTGATGTAAGATACCCCATTCTAGGCATTTTTAAACAACCAGAACATGAACCAGAACATCGAAAGGAATAAGTGAAAAAGGAGATTGACTACCCGTTTCCTGCTGAAGTTGCGTCAGCACAACACCTGTTTTCTTTTGCTTCCCAACACAAATATAAACATCTGACTGGTGTAATGTTCTGATAAACGGTGACCTTGACTAAAAATAGATCACTCATAAAGACGGCGATTCTTTGTTAAATATTTTCAGCAAAAATACCCGGTTGAAAATTTTGCTTAAAGTATGAGATTAATTATTACAAACAAAATGATTGTTGAAGGCTAATATTTCTTTACAGAAATAATCTTCATAATATTCCCTACACAAAATCATCTGCTGGTATAAAATATCTTAGGTAGTTATATTTATATACGCATTTATTTTAACCGTTGCGTCAACGCAACACCAGCGGCTAATGGGTTAAGGTAGGTTTTCCATTTGTTAAAATTTATAATCGTGAGCATATCTGGGAAGAGTTTAAGCAGATCTAGTAGACTAGTATAATTTCATAACTACATCAAATTTCAAAATCAACTTTTTAAACAAGTCAGAGGTCTTCCAATGGGGTCCCATTCCAGTACCTCGCTCTGCAATATCTTTTTATTTATCAAAGAATTTAACTTCCAAAAAAATCTACAACCACAAGAATTAAATTACTACAAGCACACTTACAGATATATTGATGATCTTATTACAATTAATAATTTTAATAAAATTGAATACTCCGAGATTCATCCAAATTGCCTTACACTTAATAAAACTAATAATTCACAAAATAGCATAGACTATCTAGATCTTCAAATCATTAACTACAAAAAAATTTTCCTTTTTGACAAAACAAGAAACTTCAATTTCAATACTAACAAATTAATAAATTGGAATTCCAACATATCCAAAAAAGTAATTAACAATACAATAATAAATCAAATACAACGAATTAAAAATATCTGCACAGATATGATAGATCTACAATGCAAAATTTTGCTCCTTATTAAAATTCTCAAAAATAATCTAATACCTAATCAATTTATTAAACATTGCCTTAAAAGAGCAGGTGCTAAATACTCACTCTAAATCATTTAACGGATAGGGATATGATAATTTGTTCCTAAACCTGAGGAGGCGGTATAAGTTGAATGACTATCAGTTGAAGGATTTGTACATAATGTAATTACAAAGCTGTATATAATGTAAAAAGCTAATTGTCTTCAGACCTTATGCTGTTACTAAAAAAATGGGCCTATTTCATAATCTTTAGTCTGTCAAATAGCTCTTTGACAGTGAAAATTCCTTTTTTCCTTTTCTTAATTTCTTCCTCGTTACGACACGACAATTAGCCAGAAATTAATTAATTTCCATTCACTAGCATTTTAAAAATTTTAACAGACGGTTTCACTCAAACGTCCCTTAAGCATTCCTATTCACTCCCTTTCCCATAAATTACTTCACACAAGTCTCGCCGACTGATATAATTCAAAGCCCCCGCTGCTGATAAAGAATTTTGGAAACCCAACCCTTCTGAGTAAGACGCGAAGAAAACACTTTGCCCACTTCCCACTAGAAAGAACGTAAGTTAATGAATGCTTTTTCTGGCCTTTTATATCTTCATGTACATTCCCTTTTCTTATTATATATATTTTAAATTTAAATTTTTATTTTTTGATTTGTTTTTGCAAAGATTTCATTATATTTCTTATATTTCGTAATTATCTAATGTTTATTTCAATTACTTTGAATTCTATTTCATAATGCTTATTTCCAATGTTTAATTTTTACAAATAGTTTTGAATTAAAATGCACAAACACGAGTGTGTCAGGGGACAATTACTCGAGTAATTTATCAATTTTACTGCAGAAATTACTTTTCACTCAAAATTAAATTAGCGAAAATGCTTCATCGGAATGAGTTTTTTTATGCTCGGCATTGGTCTTGATCCCTTCAATTCACGGAAATATTTGGCCTAGCTTAAATTGCCAGTTTGGAATCACCTTATTACTTTAGTAAAGGACGAAACACCTTCGTATTTATTTCTTAATTATTGTTCATTGAATGGGAGTTGGTTTGTTCCCCTTGAAAAGTCAACTAATTTCCGATCAATTGCAATGATTATTTGCTTTTAATTGAATTTCTTTTTACAATTCAAATTTTGTTATTCATGATTTAATTCAAATCCCCGTTAAACATTTTTAACAATTTACATTCAAGTCACTTTAAAACAATTTTCGGAATTGAACTTACTAACTATGGATTCACTCTTTTAAGATAATTCTACTAAAATTAATCTTAGGAGATAATATAATCAATATTTTTTTAGTAAATATACATATACATATTTGAATTTTTACAAAATATGTTTTAACCCTCTGACTGCTAAATTTTTTTTTAACAAAATCACTTCAGAGATTGCCAATTTTTTATCTCATGCTTGAAACTAATAAACCAATTTATAAGCTTTATGCAACTATATATGAGATTTAGTAGACAATGAACCCCATCTGCAGAATAAAACATAATGTAAAGTATTCTGCACAAAACAAAATGCATTACTGATGGTTAAACATTAACAGAACTTGATAAGCTTTTAACAGAGGCAGCAAATGCATTCGTGTGGATATTGCGGGATGAGCAAATTTTGCTACATTTATGTTGCCTTTGGAAATCACAATATAAGCAGTAAAAGGACTAATAAAGAAAAAAATTCCCTTTTCTTCTTTTAACACAAAATACATTAAAAATTATCTACAGATGAAACATGAATTATTTTTACAGCAATTTTGAGCAATGAAAAGCAATAAGAATGACATTTATAATCTATGCAATCACTTGTAAAAGACTTTTCAAGCAAGCTTAATTGAGAATTAATGACTAACCTTGCCAAACTATATACTATTTACATATACTATGGAAAACTGAATACCAAAACACTTACATTAATCATTTCCTTATGATTGAGAAGTATGTCCCCAATTCCTCTTATACCATTCTGCAACCTATTCATTGGCCTTCCTTCCCTGAAATATAGTGTATGAATAAATATGGCTTTCAGTAAGTTTAAAAATAAAAAATCTTAATATATTCTTCAGCAGTAATTAGTACTGTTTAAATTTATTAACATATCTCAAATCGGACATGACCTGAGTATTATTTTGAAAACAAAACTGAAGTGTCTGAGGTAGTATTTATTACAACGAAGCATTTCTGAGACAGAATCAGAAATGATACCAGAAATATGCAATGCACTGATTTCAATATGCAATGCATTGACTCTTCAATTTAAAAATCAATAACTAACTATAATAATAATAATAACTATAATAATAATAATAAAACTTTAGCCTTTTCAAGATTGTAAAAATTCACAAAAAAATTAAATAATAATAACTATAATAATAATAATAAAACTTTAGCCTTTTCAAGATTGTAAAAATTCACAAAAAATTTATCTCAGTTTTCTTGTTTTTGTTACTTAATTTTTTACTTTTCCTCTAAAAGCCAGATGACAATCTGTAATGTCAAAAGTATTTACTGATACAAGGCTGGCAGTTATTTTCATATTTCGTCTCCCCAATATCATGTACGTAATCCTTCTTTTAATTGTTCTCAAATATATTTCTGTAATATAAACACATATTCTGCTATGTCAGATACAAGTGCCTAACATTTCACTAAGCCATTAAGGCTCTGTCAATCACATGAAGCTGACAACAAATTTGGATTTTGACCTCAAATGTACTTATGTCTGTTACTTCTCTCATGCACTTTTGTATCAATACGACTGATACAGCATATTATATAATATGACTGACATAGGCAACTAATACTATGTTGGGGTGAGTTGGCTACCTGTGACTGACGATGTTTTTCACCACTATTGACTTACTTATTTATTTTATGGATAGGTTATAAATTATAATTTTTAACTCTTGGCTATCACTACATCTATTTACAAATTTGTGTATGTGTATATGTTCTAGCCATTTGGTAGAGTATATGTTTTAAATCCTATTTATTAGATCAGCAATTCACCAATGAAAAACACTCCAGAGTGCACGCAACATTGTGCAAACTTCCTGTAAAAGGAATCTCTCTCTCTTTTTCAGCAACTGAAAATGGTAAACTCTACCTTCTAGTGCATCTTTCATGATTACCGTAGCTAGTGGCCCACACTAACAAGTTTATGGAAGCTGTTTTTTTAAGGTAGTATCCTGAAGTGTCTGGGCAATCAAATACAAAATCTACATATAATTTCACAATTATTTACATGTATAAAAATTCCTATCATTGCCCTCTTTGAAAGATACTAAATCAATAATTAAATGCATGAATTTATAAATTTATATACAAATAGAACTATGCTCTTAGTATACATTTACATTATATACATTATGGGGACTATGTACTATGGTCATAATAAGGGGCTAGCCTGTCATAATGAATGACTTTAGACTTAGAATTTGATGGCTTATGGATCCTAAATACGTTTTCAGCCTGTTTAAGACTGTGCAAGGACTATCCCAAGATGACTGTAGTTTAGGTGAAAGTCCTTTCCATTGAACTGGATTCTATAACCACACATTGTCACCTTCATTGAATCGATGTCCTGTAGCTCTTGTATCACACTGGGTCTTCGTATTCTTAATTACCAAGTTCACTCACTCTCATGCAAAATTATGCATCACTTCAAACCATGCCTCGAGATTTTGAATATACTCCTCAGGTGATGAAGGCACATCAAGGAGGCGAAAAACAAGAGATCACAAAGCAAACGAAGATGACAACCATACAGCGTCTGGGATGGAGAATAGCTGGTAGTCTTGTGAACAGCATTGCGATAGGCCAGTAAGCAGAGTTCACTAAAAAGTCCCAAATTTGTTGATTTTTGGAAACTCTTAGTGAACATCTCTATCATACCATCTGTGGATGTAAAAGTGTCTTTTGGGTTTTATCCGCGCCGACTAGTTTGCAAAGTTCTAAAATAAGATAAAATTAGCCAAGATAAAATTCCTTCCTTCAGCCGAGATAAAATTCCTTCCTTGATGGGAATGTAACTGAACAGGCACTCCAAACCTAGAAATCCAAAGCTTTATCATTACCTGTGCTACAGTGAGAGCTTCTTGATGAGGGATAGGATATGCTTTAGACGGCTTTGTGAACTAATCAATGACAATGAGGATGTATTTTTTGCCATCAACAGTTCATGGCTGAGGTCCCAGAATGTCAAAGGCAGTGTATTGAAAAAGTACTACTACACAATGCTGCAATTTTCGTATCTTCTTTAACAAACCTGATGGCCACTTCCATCTTTTCTTGAAATGCAGCAAAAGCTGTCACCAATAGACTTAGTTATTCCCCCATCACTTTTGTTATCAGCATTCAACGTCACTCCTGACACTAAAAATTGGTGCGTGATTACAGGTTTGTATTGGATTGAATATACATGGAACTAATGACAGCGCTTCTCTTTGGAACTGTAAAAAACTGTAAAGCTCTGGAATTTGCCACAAAAATATTTGCATAACTCTTCTCACAGGGTTGCCACTCAAACAGGAGAATGAAATTCCCTGACTTTTCCAGGTATGTTTCGAGAAAATTCCAGTCTATCCGCGTAATGTACGTTGGCTGTGCTAAGAGGTATCTTAATTATGGTATTACATGTATTGCGTAGCAAATTCACTTAATTATTCAATAAATCTCAGAGGACATTTATTCTTAATTATTCTTGGTACACTTTGTTTACTTTTCCACTTAAGAAACTTAATAAAATGTAAGATATATACATTGGATAACAATTGTACGTTTTTATTTAATTATTACTCATGATCATCACCAGTTCAACATGAGGCTAATCCGGTTCTTATAAATCACAACGCAATGCTAAATAGTTAGGTTAGATTTTAGGTAAATTTAATTTGTGTGAGGTGTCTTCTTAAAAGGCACCTTAACACTTGAAAACACAAATATAATTAATTATAATAGGAGTTGTTTTCTCAACTGAAGATTGAGATTAGAATCTGCCCAATCTGGAATAAAATAAGGCTTTTTTTTGCAGACATTCTGCAGCTAAACGAAAGAAAGAAATCTATTTAATGATATTTTTTTAAATTGAGGTATTTTATATTTATTTCCCAGCATACATAAGAAAAAAATATGTGCATTAAGTTTTCGTGATGGTATGTCATCATACTGCTAGAATTAATTTCAGGATTATGCCAGAGAAAATTTCCTGAAATTTGGAAATATTATTTACTAATGATAAATAAATTTAGAGGGAAAAAGCAACATTAAATGATATGATTAACACAGGGTTCATAGCCACATTTTAGTCAAAAAAAATAAGCACCTATAAGCAGCACATTTTAAGAAAAAAATAAGCACCTGTCTAATTAGATTATACACAACTGCATAACCTTAAAAGAAAAATTAGACTTGCAATTTAAAATATGAGCAATGCAATATTTATCAAGAGAATGAGCATTACCTCAACCATGGAAAACAACTGTTTTTTTTTTTAAATTTTAAATGACAGTTCAATTTACAGAATTAGTTTACAACGAGAGGGGGAAAAAAAAAAAAAAAACTATGCAGAACTAAACTATATTACAAGATTTAATGATGAAATTTCAGTTCAAAATATAGAAAATAAATAATAATAAGCCATATTAATTGTATTCGCTTGGCACCTAATAATAAATACAATTTATTTTCCCACTCATATTTAAATAATTTAAATCAAAATTCTGAACATTTTCTAAATTTTCATTGCATAACAGTTTTCCCTTAACATATATTCCAAGCAAAGTAATTTAAGTAAAAAAGAGGAACATTTCTGAAATCAGGAGACGGGAAATTGCTTTATGCAGTCATCCTTTAACAGTAAAAGCTTAACTAACCCGCATACTCGGAAATTGCCGAATATTCCGTATAGTCGAGCGTAACTGGAAAAAGAGGAGGGGGAGAGATTGTAGCCGTTCTTTAGATTTCTCGGCTAAATAAATGATTTTGACATTTCGATATGTGCATCATATAAAAATAGACCAACGGAACTGAGAAATATTCTGCTTAGAAAGCACAGTAAAACTCTTTTAAATGTTCATAAATGAATCTCAGACTGAACATCAAAATTAATTATCTCTGCAAAATATCGCAAACATTATTGCGCAATACGTGCGGCGTAATTCTTCCATATGTGTGATATTACGCAATCGGAATCAACAGCTGCCAGTATTCGGAGAATAAAGAACTAAATAAAGGAAAAGAAAGAGACTTACTAATCTGGGGTGTTTTTGATTCTAATTTTGAACAGATTGCGTTAAATTTCTGCAATTTTCATTCTTCGCTTGGGTTGGGTACACCGCAAAACTTTTAGTCCTATTCAATCCAGATTGGACAGTGACCCCCAAAAAAAAAAAAAAAAAAGTCCGCTGCTTCAATATTAGAGATTTTGTGGAGAAAGGGGAGAACCTCCCAACCTCCGTACTGTATAATGTATTGGGGGGGGGGCGGAATATTCTGACTATTCGATTACTTTCCTTTTATTCAAGCCATTCCGAATATTATTCCTTAAAAAGCCAATCTGTGTAAAAATACACCCATTTTTGGAAGTTTATCTACACTTCAGCAGCTACTGCAACTATATTATTATAAATATTCATACATATGCTCATAATATAAGCATAACGATCATAATAAACACGAATATGAACTGACCACGCGGAACGAGAATGCAAATTATTAAAATCTTGATAGAAATTCAAACGTGTGTAGTATTTGGGTGGGTGGAAAAGAATACCGAATTACCGGAATTTTGTACGGTTTTTGCAACTCTTTGACCAAAAGAATGACGTTCACCTGTCTATACTCTCGCGCGCACCATAGGTTACGTTAATGCAGAGAACATGGAGGAAAAGCTATTTCCGGGAGTATGATTCACCATCTGACGTTCCATATAAGGAAGAAAAGTTGTTTATTTAGTTTCGGCTTTGGTACGGGAGGAAAAATGCGCGTTCATTAAAAAAAGCACTAAAAGCAAAAAATAAGCACTAAAAACAAAAAAATAAGGGCTTTAAAGAAAAAGTAAGCACCTATAAGGGCCTTTATATTTTATTTTCAAATATAAGGACTTATAAGCACTTGTAAGGACGGCTACGAACCCTGATAACATAAGCATAAAGATAATTACTTAAAAATTGAATTAGAATAATCAACGATATTTTAGCGATACGATTTTCAACGATATAGATATATAACATGGTTAGCCTAGATGACTGATTACTATTTTTTTATTTTACTGCAAAATGACAAGTTATTTATTAAAAAGAAAAGAAAAAAAAAAGGTTTAAAAAGATTTTGTGATAAAATCCTAGTATATGGTACGGCCTTAGCACAATTTTGAAAATTGTCGCCAAGAACAAAATGACCCGTTTACTGCTCATCATCATGTCGCCAAACCCCGCTGTACATACATGGAGATTATTCTAACCAAAGAACATCTATGTAAAGAAGAAAAGGTTCTACACACGTAAAAGCTATTACGCCGCTAGAAAACGGAGGGAAAATTTGCCAAGGGATTTGGCGACGGAACCTGGCGCCCAGAATTTCCCTCTCTGCGATGTGTACAGGAAATTGAGAAACACGTATTAAGAAGAAACGTTCTTTGACAAAAAAGAAAACTACGAAAATCTGTTTTTAAATTATTGCGAAAAATCCAAGAAGAAACGTTTTATCAAAGAACGTTTTTTTCTTAGTCCCTCCTCAAAATAACTAATCCATGAATTAATTTACTTGCGCCAAAAAATATTTTATTTTCCTTTATAGTTTAAAGAAATTTTAAACAATATTCATTTTATGAACTCTTGATAGCGTGACCTTCGAACTTCGACATCGGTTTCGAGCTTTGGTGACAGATATATCGCGCATGCACAGCTGTTTCCCTCTATGATGGAAGGGAACCACCTCTGTTGCAGAGAGGTTTTCCTTCTTTACAATACATATTCTTTGATTCTAACTTTCATGATACCGTATACTAGGATTAGACCTATTTTCTTTTATACGAGAAAAGGTACTTTCTTTAGTTCATGCACTGCACATGCGATTCTCAAGGTTACTGGAAACCAAAAGTTGTGGGAAACTTGCTTTGCCTTTCTAAAAGACAATCAAATTGGAGCTGCGAAAATTGGCTCTATGCCAGCTGCCCGAATGACACTCACATGATACACAATTCGCCAAAAAAGTGATCTCTTCCTACATCGGCGCAAAACTCGCCTTTTTTGGCGGGATCGTTGTATGAAATTCCCTGACTTTTCCAGATTTTGACTAAAACACTTAAATTCCCTGACTTTTCCCTGAATTTTCTGGTCAATTTCCGAATTCCCTGACTTTTTCCGGTTTTCCAGGTAGTGTGGCAACCCTGTTCTCAGTATGGCAGAGCACAATCAGTAGTTACCACTTCAAACTACAAAGAATGTTAAACATAACACAATGCAAAGTGCATCTAAGGAGTGATGCTAGCAAAGACACCTATCAATACTGTGAAGTCAGCTATCAATACAGTGAGCTAAGAAAACTGAGAACTGATACTCTCTCCTCAGGTTGAACCAAGGTTGAACTACCAATGCTCAGTAATTTAACCATTTGACAACTGACGTGCATAAATTTAAGAATAAAGAATAATGATGGTGGTTGATATTACAATATTAGATCATCAATAATAAGTTATGTTTATTTAATTGAACTAAAAATTTCAGCACTTGCACTAGAATGAATTTTAAAAAATGCATCAACTTGCCGTAAGGACAGGAACGTAATTTTACACTGTTCCTATTCCTAGTGCAAGATCTGAAAAATGAGGTTAATAATAATAATAATAAAGAAATAAATGAAAGTGATAAAGGAGAATATTTGGCATACTTTGTTTTATGAATTCAATTAAATAATTATAAATAGGAATATTAATGCAGTGTATGGGAATCGGACAATAAACATAAGACAATGTCAATGGTTATTCCAGAAATTCTTAGCTGAAGATTTCTGCCTAGCCCTTTGATGGTTATGAACGAGTTCAGCTTGCGATAGAAATCATGCTTCATAATGCACGCAAACGCGTTCCACTCGGGAGTAAAATTTCGACCACAATGGTTAGAAATGAGCACTACTCACGTAGTGAAATTTTTCCCCCAATGCGTGATGACGAGCTGAGCTCGTCCGCCATTATTATTCTGCATTGATTATGTTACAAAGGAATCCTACTTGCGAAATTTAGTTAGTTTTACTGTTCTACAGATGGCAGTATGGATTCCATGAATTTCTTTTCATAATGAAGGGGGAATTTAGTTAGTTTTACTGTTCTACAGATGGCAGTATGGATTCCATGAATTTCTTTTCATAATGAATGGCGATTTTTTTTTAACTTGTTCTTTTTTATGCATATTTTGACGCGTTTTTAAGGGTGTTTGTAAAGTAAAATGGCTCAAAAGCGAAAGTCAGATAATTATGATGGTGATTATGATTGTGATACAGAAAGCTTATCAAGTTTTGAGTCTGATGAAGACTTTCTTTCCAGTATATTAACCTCAGAAGACGAGTCAAGCGATGAGGAAGATTTTCGAGTGTTCGACAGTGGTGTAAAATTGGTTCACGTTCTCACGCTCCTAGCCGATTTAGTTTTACAAGTGACGCCTCTTTCTGGAGGATTTATAAAGCTCGATGAGAATTCCTGCAAACTTCAGTGGAATAATTCTGTTGTAACTATTAAGAACCAGAAGAAGATGAAGGAGAGTTTAATTCAGAGTAAAAAAGAGCTTTGTTTAACTTAATTTTGAAAAATAAAAAATGGATTAAAAATTGCAATATTTATAGAATGAGCCAATAAAATTATTCAAAATCTACAATATTTACTAACAATTGGTTTTAAAAAAATTGCTCATTTGCAAAATAATTTGTTAGTGATCTATTTAGTATAAAATGTGAAAAACAACAAAATAAAATTTACAGTAAAATAAAAAATCAAAATTAAGTAAAAATAAGCGAACCAAAATGCCATTCTCTGTTCGAGATCTCTTAAAAGTTCGCAATGAATTTCATACAGAGGGTCAATGATTGAAAGCATTTGTTCTATTGCAGCACATGACGTTTTCATTTGCTTGGAAAATTCTTCTCGAAATACCTTCAAAATACAAATATTAATTATAAAAGTGATTTTCTTTCAAAACTCAAAACTTTTACATCAAATAACCTATTTTAAAATATCCAGTGCTATGCAATATAAAATTACCATAAAATTGTAATACAGTATACATACAGGATAATAAATGAATATCTAAAAGTACTCTAAATGCAACATGATAAGTGCTAAAAATACAGTAAAAGGGAAAATGGAACACAGATACCTCATCTTTTATGTTGGAAACAATATATTTGCTTATCTATAACAGCTCAATTGTTGAATTTTACATTATGTAGCATTCTTTCCCATTTAATACAAATATACGTTGAGATCTTGATCCTAATTTCACTAGATGACAAAAAGCATGATGTTATCCAAACTGATAAAAATAAGGTAATTTTTCCTGCAGCTTTGTTCCCAGGGAAAGAAGCCCCACCAATGGCTGAGTGGTTAAAAATGCCGCATATTGGTAATTCAGTCTGGTTTGTGTTCATTTTTCAGAAGAATAGGCTAGCTGTATACTTGGTGTTTGTGGTTTTCTCCATGTGTAATGTGAATGCAAGTGAGTTTCTTTCATAAAGACCTCCATGAAAGTATCCCTTTTCTGACAGCCTTCAAGGCTTTGCAGTATTCAAGCAATCAATCACTTAATCCATGGTTATGAGCCAAAGTGGTACATGGTTATGAGTCAAGTGTGGAAAATAACCTTAAGTTTCTACTTTAAAGTAAAAGTTTATAGCATAAAAATAAAGCATGCTCTAATATAAAAGCATGCTCTCTATAGAAGAAATGTTTGCAGTGACATTATTTGGAACAACAAAGTACGAGTCAGAATACACACAGAGTTTAAGCAATTTTTTCTCTTAAATATGATATTAAAAACATGATGGCTATTCAATGCAGACACCAAAAGAGAACAGAACTGGCCTGCAAACATTTCCTGTTAATTTTTTAACTGTACTGCAGGGTATTTTGCTTATTAATAATTTCTTATTATTTTGCCTTTACTTTTACTTCTACTTTTATTAGCTTTCATTGCAGGGGAGGGGGGATAGCTAATTTAAGACAGTGTTCCTGAACTCAACCTGACTATTTTGCTACTATACCATCCAATCTCTGAATCATGAATCAGCTGTAATTTTTGCTAGCTGTAACTACTTGTGTGAGTTAGAGGATAGAAGCCAAAGCTCGTAAGCACATTTTACCTTGTAAATTTAATAATTTTACTTTGTTTACATCTGCAAACTGCAGAGACTGTTTATTACACAGGGTGTGTAACTGATAGCTGACAAACTAATAAAAAAATTCATTATGAACCTTCTTCAGCACTGGAATTACTAAAAGGAGTGAAAAGTTGCTTGACTGTTTTCATGGATCCAGAGATTAACATTTAAAGTAGTTAGGATCAATAGAGTATTGCATATATGTATGTATGATACTATAAACATAAATACTTGATATTTTCCTCTCTTATTAGACTAGACCAGTGGTGCCCAACCTTTGGTCTCTCGTGAGCACATATTGGCATATAGCGAGCACATTTCAGAAACACCAACATTTTTGTTAAACATATTTCCAGTCTTATGTGATACATCTGAAATATTAATTTTGGCAAGTGGGTTTGAGATTAATAATAATATTGGTTGAACTTTATGGAAATCAGAGAAGCGGAGTTCAAAATTATTTTTCAGTGCATTTAGGTTTTCCGAGTATTTCTATGTTTCAATTGCCTTGTGGTTATTAATATGGCTTGATAAATTCTGAAAAATGGGTGAAATCTTTTTTTTTTCATCTGATTTATCCACAAATTTAACTTTGTCTGAAAAGCAGTTACAGTCCCAGTCAATTGAAAAAGTTTTTTTTTTTTTTTTTTTTCTCTTTTCCCTGGAGATCTTTGTTCAGTTTAGCTGTTATATCTATGAGAAAATACAGATCGGATAACCAATTATTATCATCCAATTCTTTATTACATTCATTTCGGGATTCCAAAAACCACTTTATTGGCAAAAGAAATTCGACAAACCTTTGAAGTACTTTTAACCTGCTGAGCCATCTAAACATCAGAATGGAGCAATAAGATTCCATGTTCGCTATCAACTTCATTAGTCAGCAATAAATTATTTTATAAATTATTTTATAACGTCTTGCAAGATATCTCTTATGACTATAAATGCTTACCATATTTTAACAACTAAGAAATATAAATGAATGGTTATTTTAAAAATATTTTTTGTTCGTAGTACAGTCAAATACCAAAAATTCGCTGACCTGAAATCCGCCAACCCCTGAAATCTGCGTTGCTTCTCGAAATATAAACATTCAGTTTATAGGTTCCGGAAACCGCAACAGGAAGCACGAAATATCAAAGAAAAAATACTTACCGGATAATGACGTCATAATTATCGAATAATAATAAGTCATAACCAAAATACCAAATTATTGACATCATGATAAAAGTTTTTTCCCCCACTAATCTGCATCGAGGTAAGAGAGAACACAATTCACTCAACTCTTCTTTCAAGTTAACTATTCATGTTGTTGTATTTTTTTATCTTTGTTATTTCACGAGATTATTTAGTGCTGCCTTTTTCGTTATCCAGATATTTTGTGGATCAATTAAGAATATTTTAAATTTCAGCCGTTTTTAATGCAATGACAGATAAGAAATGCACTCATGATTTTACTGCTTGCAATGTTGAAAAACGTAAACACGTTCGTTGCATTGACGGTAATTCAAAAATGCAAATTCTGCAAAAGATGGAGACAGGTGCATTTTATAGCAGAATCGTATGGAATCGCGATACGATTCTGTATGATATACAGAAAAATAAAGGAAAGCTGTTGAAATTTTACAGCAACAGTGGTTCTAACACCGGAATCCGAAACCGGAAATCTCTGCATGACACGAAATCAGCAAACTTCGATGTTGTGTGTATATATAATACAATGAATAATATAATCAATTTATATATCTAATAATAATTTAATAGATATAATAAGTTATTGCAATAACGCATATAATAATTTAATTAAATGTATCTAATACACCTTATTTATTTTGCACTTTTAGTCTGAATATTATGATTTATCTTTTCTGTCTTGAAATCCGCACAACCTCTGGTCCGAAGCTTTGCGGATTTCTGGAATTCTACTGTACCTAATCGGGCTGGCGATACAAAACGATCGGCGAGCACAAGGTTGGGCACCACTGGACTAGACCATAAGGCTCTATTACCTTTTTTGAATTATCATGTTCAAAATACTTGCAAAATGTAAAAGATCTTTAAATTTAACTGCAGAAATCAATAACTGAAATCTTATTTTTTTAACTTTTAAAAGAAATAAATGCACAAATATTATATATATATATATTTCTATTAAAAAGCCTATGACTCATTATTGCTCAGAATAAATAAATTTAAAGGAAATAATAATTAGCTGCCATAAGTACTGATCTTTGATGCAAAATATTTAATTTAAAATATACACAATTTATACTTACAACATTTACTATTTCAAGATCTTTTCTATATGTACGCTCAGTCATCAGTAATTCCTTAGCTAAACAATATATTTTATCACTTGGGATTTTCTGTAAAAATAAAGTAACAAAATATAATACAAATATATATATTGGGTCATCTAGAAAGTTCTGTCATTTTTTGATAATAAATACAAATGAAGCAGTATAATAACATAAGAAAATTCATTGAATCAAATTCCGTTTTCAAAAACATCATTATGTTTGTTTGTAAAGAAGTTATTGAGGTGCTGTTTGATATTCTTCAAAGAAATGAACCCAAGACTGTTCAGAGAATTCTGAGGTTACCTGCAATGAGAAAAATCAAAAGGGGCAAGGTCTGGTGAGTATGGAGGGTGATACAAAATATCTCAGCCATATAGAAGAAATCTTTATCTGATATTCATAGAAATGTTGGGCTAAGCATTGCCATGCTGGAGGGACTAAACAATGGGTCAGTTCTGGATGCTTTGCTTTGATTTTTTTTCTTTTAAAATTGACTAACATTTTCTGAATTTATTGTCCAATTCTATGCAATAATTTATAACGTAGAATTACTTCATAGTTCCATCATACACAAATTATTACTTTTTTTAAATGTAGATCCACTCTCAATGTTAGCAAAGGAGGCCTCTTTTGGCTAACTATATGTCTTTTTCTTGTAATATTATTGTATAGTGTCCACTACTAATATCTAGTAAACAGCACTTTCAAAACAGGAGCTTCTTTTCTGCATAGAATCATATGCCAAAACATAAGCAGGCATATTTAAATATTTACTTAGAAAGAACTTAAGCAAGTATATTTAAATATGTCAAAACTTAAGCAAGCGTCTTTAAAGAATAGGGTATCCATACATTTGTAGCAGTTTACACACCTTCTTCAAATGGTTATGTACTTTATTTTTTTTTGTAATATTTAGACTATTTGACAGTTCTGAATTGTACACAACATATATTTTCAGTGACAGTTTCTTTTAATAGGTCCCTGTTTATGAATGATGGTTGTCCAGTGTGAGCACAATCTTTGTTGAATTAAAGTTGAAATTTTCCTACTTCTCAAACCACCTGCAAACTATGTCATCAGAAATAGTACTTTGTTTATACAAAGCACAAATTTTATGTGCAGACTGACTAGCATTTTTTTATTTTTTAAAATAAAAGAGCATAACATGACCAAAATTACCTTTTGAGCTCTCCATTCTTAGAAGTGTCACAACACACACTAGAATTATGAAACATGGGCAGAAAAGATTATATTTAAACATCTACCTTAATGAGGGTCACTCCTTATCAGCAGTAACAAAATAATTAGAAGAAAACAAGCTTCAATTTGAAAAACCACATAACTTTTTGGATGACCTAATACATTTTTATATATAAACACATATAATCCATGAAAGAAACCAAATATATATAAAAAAAGATTTTTATTGTGCGCAAATAGTATGGCATGAAGACAAAACGATTAAATTTGTAAGCAGGCTGGGGATTTACAGGGGTGCGAAATTAGTAGAAACAGCTGTCACCCCTGGCAGTTAAAATGGCCCTTATCCGGTCAAGCACAGAGTCGAACTGGGCTTGGATGACAGAATGGGCAATTCAATCCATGCTGCTTCAAGTCTATGCCACACTTCATCAACTGTTTTAGCTGGGGAGGGATGGCGGACCAGTTTCTTAGCAACCCATATCCAGATTTTCCAATGGGTAACAGATCTGGAGGCCTTGCAGGCCAGGGCGGCAATCGAATACTGTGTTTCGAAGAAGGTCAGAACAAGACGTGCAACATGTGGTTCTTGCATTATGTTGCTGGAAAATGGCATTTGGCAGGCCTCAAAGAAAGGGCACAACCACTGTGCTTAAGATGTCAGAAATGTATCGATTGTGTTCAAATTACTGTTGATCCAAACTAGAGATGTGTGTATCGTGTACCTAATAGCTACCCGAACCATCACACCAGGTGCATAGCCCTTATGCCAATATCGAATTCAAGCAGGTAACATGCAGTCTCCTCAGAGCAACCAGACCTGTACACGGCCATCAGAATATTGCATGTAGAACCAGCAATTGTCTGAAAAGACGACATTGTGCCACTCCTGTATCCAGCTTTGTCATTTGGCACAGCAGAGTCGCCACTTCTCTCTATCCTGCATTGTCAGGGGAAGCAGAAGCAATGGTCGCCGTGCTGATAATCCATGCTACTGCAAACATCGATGCATACGAGTGGATACTAGGCATGCTGCAAACATGCCCATTTCCTGACTAATGGTTTGTGATGGGGTTGTATGTTTTTAAGGGGCTAATCTTCCCAAAATGTCTGTCCTCTCGGGCACTAGTCATGGAGGGCATTGAGATCCTGCATGCGGTTCAGTATGACCCTCAGGAACCCATTGATTCCATATTCACATGACAGTGGTTGGATGCTGACCAGTGAGATGGGTGATATCACGGAACAATAATTCACATTCTCAATAGGCAACGATCTTGCCTTTATTGAATATACTTGCTGGTAAGCATTTCTTCCTATTATTCGAGGCATAGCCCAATATTCTGAACAAACTCCAACCTTACAAAGCACTTTCCGAATAAGAAATCCACTACACAGCTTTTCTTTTATGTAGTGCTTCAAATGTAGTTCCTTTCTCCTGTGTTGTCAAAATGCATGGGAATACTAATCATTTGCATATCCCAACCTCTTCTTCCTTTCGACTGATTTTTACATTCATCAGATCATTCCTTCCTAGTGTTGCAATTTTAATGGTTAGATAAATAATAAAATAAAAATATAAAAAGTAGATTACAAGCACAATTTGCATATTCAAACAAAAAAAGTGCATAAATTTGATCTGAAACTCAGGAGTAATATTGATAAAAATTCTACATTAAGTTAAATGCATGCTGGTTTAGAATGACAGAGACATGACAAGGGACAAAAAAAAAAAAAAAAAAAATATTAGTATTTCAGTGCATGCTATATGACAGAAAGTGGAAAGCTGAAAATAATATTATACGAAAATCATTAAACCATGATGCTTCAAAATTGCAAAAAGTCTTTGGGTCATTTATACAATGAATTGAAAAGCTTGGATGACACCCAAAATATTTTCTATTGAACTAATAAAATGGGACATATAATTGTGCAAAAATAACAGGAAGGTTCATTTGTTAGTAGACAACTAACCAGATAAATTTTCTGTGAAAAATCTGCAACACATTAAGCTTCCCTTTCTCCCTCAAATGCATCTGCACTTTTACAGTCACTTGATCAGGGTATCGTCAAAAGTTTAATGTTTTCATATGATTTTTAACTTTGCATTTGATTGAAAAGGAGAAAAAATTAAAGCCCTTTTAGAGGCAATTTATCTCTTATATGATACATGGAAACATGTAACAAATATGTTACTACAATCAAAAGTCATTAATCCGGACTCGTCGGGACTTCGGCGATTCCGGATTATAGATCATCAGTTTAAATCTAGTAAAATGGCATGCAGAAATTATAAAATTAAAAATATGAAACCGTAATTTACGAAATAAAGAACAATTATGATCTAAAGGGTATCAAAATTTACAAAAAAAAAAAAGCTTAATATTTATTTGTTTACTTTATTAAACATTTCTTTCAATGTAAGTTGTTTAAGTTGCTTCGTTTTTTATGTGATAATACATTCTCTTTAATTCTATAAACAGACATAATTTTTTGTTCAGTTACAAAGTTCCGCTGTTCAAGTCCTATAATTGCTGTGTCGAGAATACCGACTAATTTGTCAATCGAAATTTTTTCGTTTTCAATAACCTCTGTCACTTTCTTCGCTATCGGAAGCGAATTATAATGACGAGGCATTTGATTTAAATCATATCAAAGACAGAGTACATCGAGATGAAATACTACATTGAGTAAGGAATTATAAGCTAAATAAAATAAAAACATCTGCCCTTAAGATAAGGATAGTGCTGACAGATCAACTTCCATTTCATTGCACGCCGCCGCGGCGTTAAAGACAAACAAAGTTTAGATAAACAAACGTTAAAGTTTAGATAACCAAAGGATATGCCTTTATCCATTTTTTGCAGCAATTCCACTTTTTGTTTAATGGACTCAAAGATACTTTCGCTTTGTATATCCTTTACATATTAGTAAATATATATCGGAAATTCTATTTGACATAATCGAAAGTTCAAGCTTACTTTTATAAAATTGCTCTAACAGTCTGCAAAAAATAGTAATCCGGATCCAATTCGAAGATTAAGGAACAACGCAATCTGCAACATTAACTGAAATAGATAATTAGATAATTTTAGCTTAGCTTATCCCGTCCGTTATACATTAAACGCACATTCGTAAACGTATTTTGTGCACGCACACACGCAAATTCGCAGCGGTAAAGGTCTTACGCACATGCGTAAACGCGACGCATACGCAGAAAGTTTGTAGCTTTGAGGTCCGGATTATGCGTGCCCGAATTAACGACTTTTGACTGTATTCATATTAATTTTTAAGAATGCAATATTAAAAGTTCTACTTCTTTTAATTAAAATGCCATTTCTAACCATAGCTACGACAATCTATCATTATCAAAATAGCCGCAAAAAATAAATAAGAGCACCTCCCCCCCTTTTTTTTAACAGTACTTTTTTCTCAGATGACCTTATTACCATAGATAATGAAGAAAAATAGCAGGTTTACTAACAGACAAGTATATTTTATATGATATCCAAGAAATATTCAAGAAACAAATCCAAGATATTCTAGTGAAGATGATAGCAAAAGTTGAACTATATCAGAAATAATCAACTTATCCAAAAATCCACTCATAAATTATGATCAAGCTAAAGAAGCAATTAGATACTTAGACAATTTTATGAAATAAACCCACTGAATGAAAATATACATATGGAATGTTCCACATAGAGATCTATGGCAAATCAAAATTAAATAAACACTTAAAAAAAGCAATTAAAAGGCAGTGACATTTAAGGGTTAAATTCTTTTATGGAAATTTAAGTGATTAAAATTTTGCAGTTTTATGACATACACAAATTTTTATAACAGTTCTTTTTTTAGAGGGGGGAATATTATTATTCATTATGTATTTATTATTATTATATTATTCATATATCATGAGTAACACTTAATGCATGAAACTTATAGAATTTTTGCCTTCTGGTATAAACCAAGATTATCAGTATATCCTAAACATATCGATTAGATAACAGTTTTGATAATATTCACATTGTTGTGAATATACAGAGTGAAAACATAAAATACACAGTAGAAGTATATATTCCAAAAATTTAAAGCAATTTAATAATACTATTTGAAATATAGTGTACTTTCAATTATCTGGGTGTGGATTATATGTTCTAAAAATCACTCAGTCATTCTTTAGGTTTAATATCAATGATTATCTTGCACAATTTATTCTACATGCATATAATTGAAGGTATTGTTTTGTTTGATCACTGGGACTTTTTGTTTGTTTTGTTGTTTTTGCTTTTTGTTTTTGTTTCATATACAAAGTACCAAAAGCTGGGTTGAAAGTAAAATAAACAATACTGGTTCAATCATGGAGAAAGAAATATACAATATAGAAATAGGAGATTTTTCCTAATACACAAATTGGAGATTTATCTAACTGTGAAGAAGGCAATAACTGAAGTTGTATGCTAAAAATCTGAACATGTAAAATTCTTCAAAAATGTTGATCATGAAATATTGACTGAAAATGTTGATCGACCCAGGCTTACACTACTTGAGCAATGTTTTAAATACCACAAGAACAGAAGAGGCATAGAGTGATACTGAAAATACGAGTGAAGAAGATACCGACAATTACAATAGTCCAAAGACAGCAATGACTTAGGTCAAAATTCTATTGGAGTTCGCCAACAAAAAGGAATCAAATACAATGATAAAATAGTTCTTCATAAAACACAGAATGAAATTCAACAAATATTTAAACTTCATCAAACACAAAATACGATTACTGATATTTTTAAGAAATAAATACAAGCAATATGAACGTACAATGATAGTTTAGATTATCCATGACCTGCTTCCTCAGCATTAGTCCACATAATTGAGAATACACTGTACTGTATTTTCTTTTATTACATCTAATTAATGTAATATGTGTTACATTATTTAAAGAATAAATATCTCAATAAACATATTATAACAAACTTACTTTACTACCCAACCTGACACCGAAAGGACTACTAACATAGAATGTTGAAGACCCAAATGTCTGTGGCGATTCATTTTGCAAACTGCAGTTTTCTCCAAATGAATTTCGTTCAGAATGTTGTTCATTTGCTGCTGAATTCTGTTCTGTTATTTCCTGACTATCTTCCAAGATACTCTTAAAGACATCAGAATTCTGTCGATTTCTATCAGGACTTTGTTCTGTAAATGCTTGCACTTTAACAGATGTTGAAAACTGCGTGCCATTCAGTACATGATTTTCCTCCAAACATTGCCTATTTTCTGAAGAAAACTTGTAATCTGTTAGTTTGGTAACATGTTCCTTGTTTTGTAGGTTGTTTTGAAAGTTATTAATGAATGAATTTTCTAAATTATTATTGTTATTTTCCAAAAATGATATAGCCTCACAGTTGTCTGAATATACTCCTTTCTCAGAGCTTTCTACATACAAAAAGAAGAGGATTATATGCTATGAGTAACATATTGAAATGACATACATACAGATATACAAAGTAAAGAATAAAAAAATGTCACTATTCTTAAGACAATTCTAGTAGTATACTAATTAGGCTTTTATATACAATTTATAAATAATAAGCATTCAAATAAAAAAGTTAATTTTATTAATTTTCATGCACAATATACTCCATGCAATTAAATATTATTACTTCAATAGCTAAAAACTCACCAAAATTCCGTAAAAGTTGCATAAAAAGAAAGAGCAAATTTAATCATACTATTTGATTAAACCCAGAGAAACTTTTAATACGAGCTACAACGTTAATGTCAAATCATATCAAGTAAACAGAAATTAAGGTTGATAATGCAGTTATGGAGAGTAGGAATGTTAGTTATTACATAAAATTTCTCTCTAGGCAGTAAGAAATCTGATGTACACCATATTTATGCAGAAACAATACATTTCAAATTATTATTCTAGAAAATGTCATTTTTTTATAATTACAAATTTCCTCATAAATGATAACTCATTATTCTTTCATTACAACACTCTGGAAAAACGTTCTTATTGTATTAGTTTAGACAAGATAAAATAGTAGGATTTGCACAATTTGAAATCATTTTAAAATTTTCTAATAAGATAAAGATCTAGTTTATAAATAGATAATATGGAAAATAAAAAATGGCAAGACTGGATTCATGGGAAACTCTGTATGAATATGGGTAAAAATGTAATAAAGTGCCATATAATTCTAAAGTAGAATAATTTGTTCTTGAATAAAGCAGACAAGCTGTTTCACTCTCAAATGGAATGCAACCTTCTCTTGGAAATAATGCTGGAAGTTGAATTTTGACAGTTATTAAACATAAATTTATTTGGATAAAATGTTAAGATTTTCCAGCCTCAATAGAGGGCACTTGCCTATAATGGCATTGGCCAGTTCTAAGGCCAGAAGTAGTGGTCATTTTTTGTGGAGGCACCTAACAGACGGTCACCATTACCTTCTATGATGGGACAGACAATTTTTACATCCATGCCTTCTCCGAGATTCGAACTCGGACCCTTTGGTATCGCAGTCATTAGCCTAACCACAGTACCATCTCGGCGGCATATAATGTTAGATTTTATTATTTCATTTAGGGATAGCATACAAGGGCTAGTTTAAGCTTCATCCTGAATATCTTGAGACGTATAGGATTTAAGTAAATTGGTAATATTCCCTGTCACGTGATCCTTTCCTATTAAAATGTCTCAAATTTCCTTTTTCATGCATTTAAGCTTCCAGAAGAAGTAATAAATAAGATACAAATCAAGACAATTGAAAGAACACTTCATGTAGCTTATTCAGAACCAGTGTTTCCTTATTTACTATAATTAACTAAAACCAAATTTTCTGTACATATTTAAAGTCATAACTAAAACCTTTACTGAAATACACTGTTATAATCATTTCAACAAAAAAGCTTAAAATTTTACACTACACATTTGTAAAAAAGAAACTTAAACGAATTTCAGCTAAATAATAATGAATAACGGAGATAAAATAATTTATTTTTAAATATTCAACTTCTCCTAACTGCCAAAGATTTAATTAGGAAAAAAAAAAAAAAAAAAAAAAAAAAAAAAAAAAAAAAAAACAATAAATTTGTTTTAATTTGAGTATTTAAGATAAGAAGCATTTAAAGGTGAATGATTTCTAAGCTTCATAACAAATTTTTTAATAGGCAAAACAGAAAACTGTTTCAGAGAAGGTAACAAATTGCCTCACTTGTCTGTACAACAAAGCAGACAGGAAGAAAAGTTAATTCAGTATTGATTTATAGTTTGCTAATATGTGCAAAAGCATACATACAGTAATACCCTGGAATTACATGACAGGTAGGACTGATGAGAAGTGCATAAACTGGGATCGTAATGTTGCATTTGTAATTTTTTTGTGTAATGTAATTTTTTTAGGGGGCTAAATCTTGGGTGTCAGCTCCTTCAGTAACAGTTTTCTTTTGCATCTCTATAAGCATTTTGCAATATGAGTTCAATGACTCACTGATGATTTATATAGACTCTCAATTTCCAAATCTAATTTTCTGGTACTGTTGACAACTTTTTTTTTTTTATTTTTTTTATTGTACAAATGATTTAATTAGTTTATGGCACTGGTTTCATCTCCTTTTTCAAAAAGCATGGGGTAAAAAATTCCAAACACCTTTCAAGGATTCACGAGAAATTTCATTTAAATATTCTTCAGTGACATTCTGCAGCATCTAAAATACTAAGCTGCATAAGGAACAGGAGGAAGGGAAAATAAGGAATCAAATAACTTTGAGGTTGAGCAAACTGGTATTTGAGAAACTGCTTACAAATATATAAACACTTTAATAGTGAAATATGCTTTCATAAATAATTCAGACAATGAATATTTAAAAAACTCCAAACCTCTTATTCAAACTCTAAAATTCACAAGCATAATTATTAAAAAGAAAAATATTCTTTCAGCCAGTTTTTATGCAAAATTCAATTTATGAAATTTGAGTATTTGGTCAAATATCTATCTAAGCAGCTGGGTTTATCATTTTTCTTTTTTTGGTAACATGTATTAAAAATAAATATTCAGAAGAAATGCTTTCACAGATAGAAGAAAAAGACAAAAGCGAAAGAGAAAAGAAAATCAGTCAGATTATGAGTTTAATAGTAGTATATTTCAAATGTATAACTTTATATACAGTTGCATTAATAGATTATAAACTTCTAACTATCAACAATACATAAAGTCTATTATGTAACAAACTACTAGATCTAAACAAACAAGTTTTCCAATGGCAGTATAGAGTAATCATTAGATAGTTCATTCAAGATTAGCAAGTTTTTTAAATTTCATAACTGAAATTTTCAATCTTTCAGTCACATCACATAAGGCATTTCATTTCATGATTGACAGATAATAAAAAAACTCTATTCAATGAAGTTTTTAAAAAGCTTTTGGAAAAAAAAATATTTAACTTGAGTATTGAAATGGATTTATATATTTGCTTCAAGTAGCAACATAATTTATAATTCTAAAATTTTCAAACACATGCGAAATACTGCAAAACAATGACTACTTAAAGTCACTTAGCTTCTTAAAATATAATCAAAGCTTCTCTGGATTATTAGTATGATTCCTAATTTTTAGTGCATTACAATGGTTTGCAATAGTAGAGAAATGAATGAACAAGCTTTTTTTCATGCAACTGATATTCCCAATTACAGTATTATTAATTAAGTATGGGCATAAAATATAGCAGAAGCATAGAAATACTTTGTAACAAATTTAACAGCAGTCTTTTCTTTGTAAAAAAGTAGCTATCATAAACTAAAATAAAATGAAATTTCATAACATACTGCAATAAAGTTGGTCAAAGGAGAATTGCATGGAAAAATTTCTGATTGTTTTAATAAAATTAATTACTGTTACCAGTATAACAAATTATTACTAGCTTTCTTCATAAATACAGTAGACGATGGAATCAAAATTAACCCTCTGAGTGGCATGACTGGCTTTATCCGGTCATGAGATTTTTTGTCACTTGACACATATTAGCTTATAACTTAAGATATTTTGCTTTCTTACTTTCTTTAATAATGTAAATGTAATCTTAATAAATATAAATTTATGAAAATAGAGGCTAAAATAAGTAATTATACAAATTTAGCTAATAAATTCTGCATAAATGCAGGGCTTCATGACAGGTCCAAAAACCTGTGCCGCTCAGAGGGTTAAATAAAGGATATAAAAATTAACTCATTAGGAATATCCAAAATTGTTCAATGATGTCCAAAATCATCTTTACATGCACAGAATACTGATTTCTCAAAAACTGCTGAATAAAATCAAGAGAATTTATTTCAGGTGATACCTAACATTATATTGCATAAATAAATAATGAAAAACTGAGGAGGAATGCACATGACACAAAAATACATAATAAAACAAAATTGAAATATTATAGACAATATTTAAAAAAGAAAAAGAAAGAAAGAATATCTCAGTAACAAATATAGACTTCTCATATTAAGAGGGACAATGATTTCCATAAACAAAAATATGACCTTTTTCATTAAGCTGGTTAATCAGAATTTTGGAAGGTTGATTTCCAAAACCTAGCATGGTTTTCAAAGCATTGAAATAATTGGGGGGGGGGAGAATTTCACCATGCAATAGCTCTTTTATTGGCCTTACTCTAGATTTGGCTGGCAAGTTCCTTTATTTAGTGCCTTCAGTTCCAAAAAAATCATTAACCAGGCTTGCTAGGTGTGAAAGTGCATTAGCCAGAAAAAAAGATCCATATGTACATTTAAAAAGCCTTATGCAGAATTGGAAATCTTCATCTCCACACCATTGGTTAAACATAAATCATCTGCTGAATAGGTGCATGGCAGTACATACATTGATCAGCATTATTCTCCCTATTATTATATCTGCATTACTATAATAATCACACTCCTTAATGTAAATGGACATATTTCCTATTACTGCTCCTGATACTACAGATGTTAAACTGAATCACACCTTATTACTTAAAAGAACACAGGTGTATTATCATAAATTTCACTCCTGATACTCTTTGTGGTGATTTAGGCAGGTCTTCTATAGTTGTGAAATTAGTGGAACAGCAACCATTTGCTTCCTAGCACAAAAGCTTTTCACATTAAGCCTTGATGCAAATAGTGATTATAGTTTGTTATGATACAAAGCTCCATCAAGGGTTGCAAGTTATTAACTGTTGTCAAGGAGAAAAGTTTTTGTTGTAATAAGTAGTCACAAACAGACTGCAGATGATCATACTACTCCACTGATGAGAAGCATTTGCTTTTCTTTTAGTACTTTTCCTTTCCCCTGGTAAGAATTTCATTCCGGAGGGCCCAGTTTGTCACTTTTAGCCTGGCCAAATAGCTCTCCATTTCAAGGAACCTTTTAAACAAGATTTCAATGAATCAAAAACTG